TTCCTTCCTTCCTTCCTTCCTTCCTTCCTTCCTTCCTTCCTTCCTTCCTTCCTCCCTTCCTCCCTTCTTTCTTTCTTTCCTTCCTTTCTTTCTTTCCTGTTTCCTCTCTCTCCCTCCCTCTGTTCTTTTTTCTTCCCTTCCTTCTTTCCTCCCACCCTTCCCTCTCTTTCTCTTCCTCTTTCCTTCCCTTCTTTTCTTCTTTCCTCTCCTTTTCCCTTCTTCTTCCTTCCCTCCCTCCCTCCCTCTCTTCCTCTCTCCCAAGATATCTTGGTTTCCTCTGTTGTCTTCCTCTTTTCCATTCACTTATATGGTCTACTTATCACATTTTACCTCTGATATCAACTCTGTGCTAGACTGCTAGACTCACCATACTTTCCTATCTCATTACATAAAAGTATACAGTAGCCCTAAAAGAAAAAAAAAAAGAGGAGATATAAAAAAAAGTGTCTGAAGAGAGTAATTTTAATAGTGATGAGACTGGACTCTAGAGACCTACAGGACGGCTGTGCTATTGACATGCTTTTGACTTTTAAACTTTCGGCTTCTCTTTTCATATTTGTAAAACTTACATGGACATAGTGTTCATATGTAGTTTTTGCAAAATTTATATGTGAATAAATGAGAATCGTACAACTGTGATTTGAAATAAATGCTCAGGTGTGATAATTATTATTCATAAAGTAGGTGGCACCAAAATTTAAAATCAAGATCTATTAGTCTGGATGAAATGTGCTTTATCATGGAGTATCATAAAAGGAGACAGGAAGCCGGTAAGGTGAATATCATTTCCTTATTGCCTGAAAGATCTTCTCTCTTATACAGACACATTTAAAAATGTTTTATGGCAGCAAGTGCAAGCTACCTGAAATGTTGATCACAGGAGTTCCAAGTCTCTACCGTCACGTTTGATAAAATGATAAAATGATAAAATGAATTTGAGCTCCCCAATGGGAAATAGACAAAAATTGAGTCAAGTAACACATTGATAAATCTGTTTGGTCACAAGAAACCACACACGTGAAGTTCGGGAGACATAGGAGGTGGTAAATGAGCAGCATATCAGATAGTTTGATTTTCAAGTTTTAAAATAATATCATCGCTGCAAAGAACATACCCAGGAGACAGACCTTGGCTTCTGGGTACTGTTCTCATTGACAATAAATTAGAGCACCCCTGCCTCCTCATGGATTATTATAGTGATGAAAAAGGAGGAGTACAATATAGGCCTGGGAAATACTGTCATATCAAAAAGTAATGATTTTCTTTTTCTTTTTTTTTTTTTTTTTTTTTTTTTTTTTGCTTAAAGAAAGCTTCTTAAAAGCTCATTCTGCCTCAGAACATCTCCTAAAATTGTCCATAACAGTCCCCACACTAGCAACTTTGGCGAACTTTAGAGATAAGCAAGTCCCTTGGGGGTCTGAAGTAAAAACATAATGATTCAAGGACATGCAAATTAGATGACCACCATCAGCCTTCTGACAGCAAAACTGTATCTGAAAAAAGTGGAGAGATGTATTTTAGGTATTTAAGGAAAATACAGATGAGTCAGGCGTTTCGAACTGACAAGCAAGTACAGAGGCACACACAATCGCCAACATACAAGAACTTGGAGGATATTAAGACTGTTCTCTTGATCCCTTCCTGAGGAATCATTTGGAATTAAAACTTCAAAGGCAAGTAAAAATGGCTAGAGACACGTGAGCACAGGACTGGCGGTGCGCCTGCAATGCTTAGAGTCAAGATAGCTGTGGCGGGTGTACCAGGTATGGCCGCCTCCTCCTCCCTTGTCAGTTAGAAACTGACAACCCAATAAGATCTTTAGTGGAGTATTTACCAAATAGTATTTTTAATGGAGATTTTATTTACCGCTTCTTTATCAAGAGCATCCTGAAAATCCTTAAGTCGCCTTTCTTCATACTGTTTTTCTCTGAAAATCCTATTTTGCCACAAAACTTCCTTTTCGTGCCGAACGTGCATGAGCTGCACGGCAATCCTGCGCTCCTGCTGGGACTGACGCATCAGCCGGTGTATCAGCTGCTCCTCGCGATAGGCTTCCTGTGGACAGCAGCAAGAGAACCAAGGCCTTGTCAGAGCCTAGTCCACACTATCCTCTACTGGGCAGACAATTCGCAAACGACATGTGAAAGGCACAACAGCCGTCTAAGTCCATTTCTGCCTTTTGGTTTAAATCTGAACACAATACAACATACACACACACACATTGCAATAAAAGTTATTTAATCATAGATATTTAATACTAGATCTTTTTAGAAACATGGTATTAAAATTCAAAATTGCTTCAAATAAGTTACTTCCTTTAAAATCTAATAAAAACAAATGATGCGAGTTTTCAAACTTTCTGAACAAGTAATGCAATTCTCAGTTTATAATGTTTTCAGAGGTTTGGAAATTAGGTCTACACATTTCAATGTAACTAGTCTTTGTCTGGCTGTGAGCTTTTTGCCAGTATTTCAGCTTTGCAGGGCCCCTTTCTGATTAAGTGGTAATGAGAGGCTTAGGGTAAATACAATTCCCCAGGCCATCAGGATTTCTTCGTCTGAATAGAGGTATCAAATAAAAAAAGGAGCATATGCAGTTCTCAGTGAGGATTTGGAAGAACAGTGGTGTTTCTAATTAAACACTCAACCATCCAATCATCTGTAGAAAAACTGTCTCAAAGGGTCTCTGCAGCTACAGGAGAAATAGGACACATTTTTGGGAAGCCAGATACAAACTAACACTGTAAGTTAAATGGTGAAATTGGACTTTAGGCCTGTTTTAAAATTTTAAATTGAAGCTCAACAGAAATTAAATAGGAATTTCTTCCTACTCATAAGATGCCTTAAAGTCATGAAAAACTTCGCACATCAGGTGTTCTGTCTAGTTACTAAATTCTAAAAAGAGATCATCGTTAATAATTATTTTCACCTTGTTATCTATTACTAGACAAAGAGAAGGATGTAAAAACAGCAACGAGTTCTTCCTTCATTTACTCACAGCATTACATTTTGACTTTATATGAGCAAGCAATGGTGGAATCTATTGTTCTAGGCCTTAAATACGGCATATGATGTGGTCCCTAACTTGAACTGGTAACCAGAACATTAGCCAAAACAAACAAAACAAAACAGACAAAATCCTAAACAACAAAGAAAAACATAAACAAAACCCACAAATCATCAAAATGTTCTTGAGGTCTGACTCTGGAAATTGTTGTTCACGTGAACCAATCTACTAGAAAATTAAAGGCTTTTACAGAGGGTACTCATCTTTCTGGCAGTATCTTACCAGGTTTTGGAGGTCAGCCAGCACCAGGCAGCCCCAAATACATTAACAGCCCAGTCAAGAGGAGCAGAAGAGTGAGCTGAGCCCATTCTCCATCCCCCCTGAATTATGGTCTGGTTTCAGTTAGACAAGCCACAGTCTCAACCATATTTTCTAAACATGAAATTGCTTCACTATTCTAAATGAATTCTGTATTGTTAGGCTCTGTTTACATAGACAATTTAGCTGTCAAAATGTCCTCCTCTGGCTGGTCACCCTTATAAGGAAGAACCTGGACTACCAAATCATACTTGGATTATCATTGAGATTGAATTGGGAAAAAGAGAGAGTACTGTGAGGTGATGGCTGCACCAGGCTATGTGTGTTTAGCTTCAGTTTGAAGACCTATAAAGACCTTGACATAAAAGCTAATTGGGAAGGGTTGTTCTAGTATAGTGGACTGTTTATTAAAATTTCAGTGAACTGTAGTTTCTCATGCAATGGTTTCGGCTAAGGAAAGTTAAAACCTAGAACATAGATGAAATATCCTGTATTTGGAGTGAATAGAAAAACAAATAGAGGATTCACTTTTATCTTAATCGTATTTAGCATATTTGAGAAAGATTTCGAAGAATATATAATCTAGAATAGTCTCGACGTGATTACAGGCTTTCCCACTTCTCCCACAAGGTGAAGCTAGTAGTTTACTTCAGTAACTATTAACCATTTTTCTAACTGACTGTTATGGAGGAATGGGCCACTGTACTATGTATGTATGTATGACCAAGTGCCTCAGGTTCTGTAGTTATTAGTGACAAATGAGGGTACTTTGAAAATTTGTAAGTAAGGATTTTGTTTTTCTGATGTGAGGATTTACCTGTGACATCTGACTCAGAGTGACAGACAACATGTATACAAACCATTCATTTGTGAAAATACAAGGGCATGGATCCTGAAGGTCTCAGTGATGTTAATGTAGAACTAACATCAAATATCTCACCTCCTGTGCTTCGTGGGCTATTAACTGGTCCATCAACAGCCTCCGTCGCCTCTTTTCCCTTTGCTCACGTGCATGAGCATTTTCTTCTAGGCGTTTCTGGATCTTTTTAATGTAGTCATCATCTGAATAAGTGTTGAGCAGTTCGGTAGTCGTCTGGTCTATTGTTTCCAAAGAAAACCTGGATGCACTAAAGGCAACAGATTCTTGTTAGACTTTAATACGTGTGATCACGTCTCTTCCTTGTAATGATGGAAGACTTCTGCAGAAAGCGGCTTTGCTGTTTTCATTCATTTATTAATACAAGCATTGCATACACACTGAAGCCTGTAGCTTACTGTCAATTCCATTTGCTCTACCTCACATTTTTCACTATCTCTCTAGGGTTTTTAGTATAGCTTTTTTTTTTCTTAAGTACATCTCCTCTTTTCTCAGTTCCTATACTCTCCAGTCTTACTAGATACTCTGGTTTTTGTCCTACATCTTTCCATTGGCCTCTTGCTTCTCCAGGTTTAAGTCAATAAAAAGTAGGCAAACTATAGCTAATCCAAATGTCAGAGAGGGCACCTCAATGACAATGATTATATCTATAGACTAGAGATAATTGATGTTAGCACACTGAGAATACAGTACCTCTATGGATGGTCCCGTTCATTATTAGTCTTTTCTCACCTACATTGGTGCAAGTCACTCTAAGTACTGTCAAAAGGGCATATGACTAGGGCAGTGGAAACCATTCGTTAGGAATTGAGCAGTTGAAAGTTGGCCTACCTGTCATGACTCAGTGTAGGTCTGACCTGGCATCAGCACAGGTCTTCACAAAAGGAAATGAACAACTTGGTTCATCTGAAATAAATTTTCAGTGAGTAAATGGTCCCTTATCATTAAATTTATAGTCTTTTAAAAGTTATCATTAAAATTGTGGATAGCAATTGACTCAAAAATTCTCATCTGCATGTGACTTTAAAAAGCCATTAGAATGCCACAGTACAGTTGCATAAGATATATGATAATGTTACTTTCCAAGGAATAATTAGTTTATAGTATAAATTGTTATTTTTATGTTATTATGAATACATTTAATTCAGAATATAACAGAATGTATTTAAAAAAAACAAAGGCATGTTACTGAAGTGTGTCATCACTAAATAGTCATCAATTTTCATAAATGCAGAATTACTTCCGCAAAAGTATGTTTAGTGTGAGATTCATACATATTTGTTACATAGATCTTGGCAGATTCTAGATCACAATTTGTATGTTTGTTGCTCTCAGCTAAATTTTGGACTCATATTACAAATATTCTTTTCTTGTTCTCTGTACAAAGTTGGTGTGTGCAAAATTTCAACAATATGCTAACAATGACTATCAAATGTGAATGTAAAAGACTAAGATTCTGAATATTTTGTCCTCAGGAGGTACAGTCATGGTTGTATTTTGTCACTTAGAGGAGGTAAGAATAAACTGTTACAATTCAATACACAGAAGGTCAAAAGCAGAGCAGGTTTTTGTTTTTGTTTAAGATTTGATACAATTAAAGCTCATCATAGTAACTCAGGGCTATAATTGGAAATCATGTGATGAAGGCAGGTGAATTTCGGTGGTAACAATGCCATCCTAGTTAACAGAGGAATTTTCATGCCATCCATGACTGCAAAGTAAGACCCCCATCTTTAAAAATAAATAAATCATTTGGGCCAGTTTCAAAGGTATTTTTAAAGGTTCGCACAGTCACATGTTTGTGGAAATTAGTGTGCTCATTCAGTAAGATGCCTTCTATCCTCTTACCTATATGTGCTGTTACAAAGACTCTGTCCCAGAGTAAGCTTAGGTTAAAAGCTTCCTAAATACTGTGTTTGTGCTGCCAAAAATGTAGTTCATGAATTCTCTGTTATTTACGAGTCAATCCACTCACCCTTCCATTCACCCATCTATTCTCCCATCAGTACTAGCTATCAAAGGCTCCAACGCAATGTAATGATAAGGAGATGGAAATGTTGCATGGCCCAGCTCAGGCATTATACAATTAAAAAGACAGTGAAATATTATGTTGTATTCCATAAATACATAGTTTAATCACATTGAATGATATAAAATGCTGGCTATGTTGATTAGATTGATCAATATCTATATATCAAATTATCATACCATATGAATTTATAAAATTAAAATGATTAAAACAGTAAATTTTTATAAACAAAAATTTATATGGTAGTTTAATTGAAGGTATATGCATTTTATTACATGTGGGTATCTTGAAGACAGTGGTTATGTTTTATTGATATCTGATTGTTTACCAAATACTCATGGAGATTAGTAGTTTTTTTGTAGGAATTATCAGTATAAAAATTTTGTCAAACACATACTTTGGGAATTACTTGGTAAATCTGTTGCACCAAATACCATAATATAGTATCCAATAAACCTGAGCTAAGTCAGCAGGTGGGGATAGAACTTATTATTTGTCTAAGAAAACAAGCCAACAACCTTTGCAATGGAGAGTGTGTGTGTAGTGTAGGGGGAAAAGAAAGCGGAGTGCCACGTTACAAGCTCTAAGACTTTCATTTTTCCACTGAAGGAAAAATATGGGCTTTGAGATGACGTTACTTATCTCTGAAAGACTTTTCAGATCTGAGCAGTAAAAAAGGCAGCAGCTGAAACTGTTCCTCAAGTCCGTGCTGTTTGTCCACACAACACAGACACACAAACATTCATTTCCATGCATAACCACAATAAAGTAAAGGGGCTATCAATTTGAGAGTGGGGAGACATGGGAGGGATTAGAGGCAGGATACTTGGGAGGGGTGGAGGGAGGTCAAGGAAAAGGGGAAAGTGGTATAATTCAAGGATAATGTAAAAATATTCAAAAATGTTAACGCTTTTTGCAAAATGCTAGCACAAGTTCTAAATGATTCCAGAACATCTTCAGGTAAAAATTCAAAATGAATTGAAAAGTAGTTAGTGATAAAAAGGCTTTAAAAGCCTATTGTCCCTTAGCTTCGGTTTCTTTCTCAGGTTGCTTTAGACCAGCGCTTCCCAATAATTTTCTTTTTATGGCTATCAGAAAAGATATGTGTGCCGCACATTGCAGGAGAACTGCAGAGAGTCTCCAGCTGCCTCTCCTACAGTGCCACGCTGTGAAGGTGGATTCTTTATTCTATGCACACTTCCAAGTTCCCTTAGAAACGTCTGCTGGGATTAAATTGAACCTTCTGGAAAAGACACACAGACACACACATACACAGAGACAGAGAAATAAGTTGAGAGAATGCCTAGACAAAGGACCTCCCATGCTTGTGGAGGAGCAGAATCACTATTATGAAGGTGGTAACATTACATCAAAAGCAATGTGTAAATATTAGATGTTCCCCACAAAAATTCCAATGGCGTTCTTCATAGAACTAGGAAAAGACTATAAATCTTGTGAAGACACCAGATACCCAGAACAATCTGAGCAAAAGGAGAAATTCTGAAAGTAGTTCAGTACTTGATCTCAAATTACAGTCAGAGATATGGTAATGGATCCACCATGAGAAGGCACAAAACACAGACATGTAGACCAGAGGGATGGAATACAGTATCCAGAAAAAAAGTATACTTGCAGCTACAGATAATTGGGTTTTGGCCTAGGTGCTAAACTTACAGCGGAGGAAAAATGGCCTCTTCTGCAAATCCTGCTAGCTAACCTAAATATGTGAATATGTAAACATGTAAAGGCTAGTATTTGTTCCCTTTCTATTACCTAACATAAAAGTCAATTAAGGACCCGGGGTAAGATGATCAATTCTCACTTAGAAAGACAAATGGACTTAGGAGAAAACAAGTAACAGGACAGGAGCCTACCACAGAGGGCCCCTGAAAGACTCTACCTAGCAGTGTATCAAAGCAGATACTAAGACTCATAACCAAACCTTCGGCAGAGTGCAGGGGATCATATGAAAGAAGGGGGAGTTAGTATGATGTGGAAAGGATAGGAGCTCCAGAAGGACCAAATATATCTGGGCACAGGGGTCTTTCTGAATCTGACACTTCACCAAGGACCATGTATAGATATAACCTAGAACCTCTGCTCAGATGAAGCCCATGGTAGCTCAGTAACCAACTAGTTTCCCATAGTAAGGGGAACAGGGACTATCTCTGACAGGAACTCAATGGCAGGCTCTTTGACCTCCCCACTACCCAACAGAGGAGCAGTCCTGCTAGGCCACAGAGGAGGACTTTGCAGCCAGTCCTGAAGATACCTGATAAAACAGGGCCAAATGAAAGGGGAGGAGGTCCTCCCCCATCAGTGGACTTGGAAAGGGGCAGGAAGGAGATGAGGGAGGGAGGGTTTGGGAAGGAATGAGGGAGTGGGATACAGTTGGGATACAGAGTTAATAAAATGTAACTAATAATAAAAAATAAAAAAATAGATTGAAAAAAACCACAATGGATCAAAGACTATAATGTTAAGACTTAAAAGTTTGAAATTACAGGAGCATAGGTATAGGTAAGAACTCATTGTGAAGGACTCAATAGCCCAGGAAAGAGTGGCAATAATGGATAAATAAGCTTGAAATGAAATTCAAATTCAAAAGCTTGAAATGAAATTGAAAAGTTTCCACATGGCAAGAGAGACAATAAACAATGAAGAGACAATGCCAGAATTGCAGATCTTCCTTGTCACCTATGTACCCTGGGTTATTGTGCTTTTAGGAGATAGAAGTCATGCTGGTAAAGGGTATGGGGATCAAAATAGGGTACCAGGAATTTGTACAGAGGGTAGGAAAAAGAAACATAGGTATATTTTCCATTTTTCTTCATTTTCTTTCCATATCTGATCATTTTAGTTTCTTTCCTGACTTCACCTCACATTGACCTACATACACACTTCCCTCAGAAATATCAGACTGAAACTTTAGTTGTTAACATGTATATTTTCCACTTAATATAGAATTCTTTCACGTTCTGTAAATATAGAGAGCTTGAATATTTTCTATTTTTAAAGGTAGAAAGTCCTACACTGCTCATATAGAAGTAGCCTCTAATGGGTTATTTTTAAGGACTTATAATAAGAAATATCACCTTACACCCATCAGAATGGCCAAAATGAAAAACTCAAGGGACAACACATGCTGGAGAGGTTGTGGAGAAAGGGGAACCCTCCTCCACTGCTGGTGGGAATGTAAACTGGTTCAACCACTCTGGAAATCTATCTGGCGCTTTCTAAGACAATTAGGAATAGTGCTTCCTCAAGACCCAGCTATACCACTGCTAGGTATATACCCAAAGTTTGCTCAAGTACACAAAAGAGATATTTGCTCAACCATGTTTATAGCAGCTTTATTTGTAATAGCCAGAACCTGGAAACAACCCAGATGTCCATCAACGGAGGAATGGGTACAGAAATTGTGGTATTTTTACACAATGGAATACCACTCAGCAATCAAAAAGGAGGAAATCATGAAATTTGCAGGCAAATGGTGGGACCTAGAAAAGATCATCCTGAGTGAAATATCCCAGAAGGAGAAAGACAAACACAGTATATACTCACTTATATAGACCTATAAGATATGATAAACATAATGAAATCTATACACGTAAAAAAGATAATCAAGAGAGCGGACATGGGGTAAGATTATCTATCCTCATTTTGAAAGACAGATGGGATGCACACTAAACATTGACAGGAGTCTACTGAGCGCATTTGAAAAACTCTAACTAGCAGTGTTTTCAAAGCAAAGACTCATGACCAAACCTTTGGCAGAGTACAGGGAATCATAAGAAAGAAGGGGAGTTAGTCTGATGAGGAAAGGATAGGAGCTCCACAAGGACCAAACATATCTGGGCACAGGGTCTTTTCTGAGACTGACATGCAACCAAGGACCATGTATGAATGTAACCTAGAACCTCTGCTCAGATGTAGCCTGTGGTAACTCAGTAACCAATTGGTTTCCCATAGTGAGGGGAACAAGGACTATTTCTAACAGGAACTCAATGACTGGCTCTTTGGCCTCTCCACCCCCCAAGGGAGGAGCAGTCCTGTTAGGCCACAGAGGAGAGCTTTGCAGCCAGTCCTGATGATACCTGATAAAACAGGATCTGATGAATGGGGAGGAGGTTCCCCTTATCAGTGGACTTGGCAAGGGGCACGGTGGAGATGAGGGAGGGAGGGACTGGGAGGGAATGAGGGATCGGGACACGGCTGGGATACAGAGTTAATAAAATGTAACTGATAAGAAAAAAATAAAATTAAATTAAAAAAAAGAAATAAAGGGATATGGCATATGTTTATGTTTAGGAAACTGGAGCTATTAAATTTACAAAACTAAACCCACAATACTGCATAATATTTGGTGAAAAATGTCATTCAATAAGACTTTAATGCTATACTCTATGATAAACCCAGAGGGCATGATATGAAAGAAACCAAACTAGAGTCCAATTAAGGCTTTTCAAGGGCACTTTTAAATTAGTGTAACAATTTTAGTAAATGTTTAAAAATGTTTGTGAACTTAAAAAATAAACATAGCACAGAAAAAATAAACTGACTGTATATTCCCTGATACCCACATTCCCATTCTAGATCAAAGTTAATGAGTAAATAATCTGAATTTTAAGTCATTTTATCTTTTCTTCTTTCATGTACTCCTTTAAAAAAACCTTCTTCAAAGTGAAAGATCCTCCAGTAACTGCAACATAAACTTTTGTAACTAGTCAAAGGTTATTCATAGCACTGGCTACAATTATGAGATATAAAAGATTATATCCTACCTTTCTTTAACTTGAAGATCCCTTTTTATTAGTGCTTCAAATTTCTTAATCTCATGGGCCACATCCTTTAAAGAAAATTCACCATCAGTTCGCTGCCTTTAAAAGTCATCAAGAAACTTCACTCACATTCAATCGGTTTAAAAGGGTGAAACATAGTACTAATTTAAGATAATTAAGTGACAAGACAAACTGGAATATTTTTATAATTTTTATTTGTTCTCTTAGATGAGGCTAACCTAAAGCAATATAGAAACTGTGTAACCTAAATCACTTAGTTCATGATTCTCTCTTTTTAAAATTGTGCACGTGCGTGTGTGTGTGTATGTGTGTGTGTGTGTGTGTGTGTGTGTAGTTGTGCCTTTGGAGGTGGGAAGACAACCTTCAATTTCAGTCCTTACTTCAATCTTGTTTTAGACAAGGATTCTTTGTAGAGGCATTTTGATACAGCAATATGGCTGCTCTGGCAAGGGATCACATCCAAAGATGATTGTTGGTCTTTGTGATCTGGCTAGAATGCAGACATATTCTGGATTACAGTATGATATGGCTGGAATATAAACATGCCCTTAATGTACACCTTTAATCCCAAACAAGAAAGGTAAGGCTAGTTTATAAATGGAGGCAGCCATGTTTGAAAGGGACATCTAATTGAGGGGGAGTCAAAGTGATAAGTCAGAGAAAGGTTTGGCAGCACGAGCCAGAGATAAAGATAAACCCAACTCTCAAGAGAACAGGGCAGAAAAGAGAGGCTACTTAAGAGCAGTGCCTGGAGACGCAGTTATTTGTTTTTGTTCTTGTTTTTTTTCTGAGAGTTTCTTACTGGGACAGTTTTACAGAAACAGGTTTCAGAGAGAACAAGCTAGGCACAGGTGATGACAAAACAAGTCAGAGAATAAGAAGGAGCCAGAAGATTAAAACACATTGCCAGAATTAATTTGAGGCCAGGCAGAGCAATTCAGTCAGAAGCCAAGAGAAGCCAGTTTGAATCAGTGAGCTTAGGAAAAGTTTAGGCCAGAACATTTGAGTTGAAACAACCACCAAGAGTTCAGAAAGAGCTAGAAACATCTGGGAGTGGCTCTCATCTCATTTCCTCACCTGAGGAAATAAAAACAATATTTACTTCTCTTGTACAGCACTGAGAATTCTGCTGTCTCTATTTCAATCTCACAACAGAAGTAGTGGGATTACAGACATAAGCTACCATGTATATGCAGGTAGTTTAACCACTGAGCCATCTCCCTGGGTTTGTTGTTGTTGTTTTGGTTTTGTTTTGTTTTGTCAAGACAGGGTTTCTATGTGTAATAGGCCTAGATATCCTGGACTTGCTTTGTAGACTAGGCCAGCCTCGAACTCACAGAGATCCACCTGCCTCTGCCTCCCAAATGCTGTGATTAAAGGCATATGCCTGGATGCATCAAAGGTTGTTAATAAAGTTGAAATTTATCAGAGTCCAGGCACATATTTTTAAATATAAATATTTTTCAAGTGTTTGTGGTGGGTGTTTTAAACATTCCCATGAAACCTCACTTACTCTAAAAGCTTTTCTCTAAATAATTTCAGCTCATTGATTATTTACTACAAGTCTTTATTAATAAACCTTCATAAACTTAGGGAAAATTAGTTGCTAATTGCAAAAATGGAGCCAGAAAAAATATGTGAATAATATTGTTTAAAATCCAAAAATAAGGTATTTCATTAGAATTTTAAAAACAATACATAGATCAACATAAAATAGTAGGTTAAGGTATGAAAAAGCTGTACTACAAGAAAATATATCAACGTCTATATTTCAGTTTTCTTAATATTTACAAAGTGAAGAAGTTAATACTGTACTAAGAGAAACGTGCAACTCACTAAAAAGTGAAGTGTCAGTTCATATCTTGATCTATGACCTACTTAATGGTAAATATTGTTATCTTACTTAGGTCAACAAAAAATATAAGCAATCAGGAATTATCATCAAAACATAATATTACTTTCTCATGACATAATTAGATGTTATCCTATTGGAATGTTGACACTTGGTGTGGTCTGGTAAAATATCTGTAGTGCAGGCGATTTAATTTAAAATGTTTAAACAGCAACAAGTCAATTAACATTTCTGGGATTCATAACAAACCACCTTGCATGGTAAACAGAAATGATGTGTTCTTAGCTGCACCCACACTTACCTAATTTAGTGGACTCCCTATAAACACAGGAGTCCAAGAAGAGACCCAAATATTTGGGAGTTTTCCTATTCCTAGCCTGAAGTTACACTCTACTACTGAACAAACAACAGTAAAAAAAATGATATGCACAATCTGGAGGAATTTTGGATAAGAATGGTGCTTTGAAAAGAAAATAAAAAAAATTTAAAAGGTCTCTCTCTGCACAGTGGAGAAAAAGAGCAAGCAACAGCAAGTGGCCACCACTTACCTCTGCCTCCTTTTTCTTTTTCATCATTTTTTGAGCCTCAAGTGCTTTCAAAGTACGATTTGATTCAGGCTTAGGGATCTGTATAATGGCTGCTTGAATTTTGGCCATTATCTCATTTTGTCGTCTTCTGTTTAAAAGTTGCTGAGTATGGCATACATATTAAATTATTTACTCATTTTGTCAAAATAATAGGCATATAACTTTTGTTCAGATATAAAAAATACATAAGTTGAAAATTTCAGAATTTAGCAATTAACAATGCACAAGGGCTTACAATTCTGTAATAATTAGGAAGACATTATTCAACACTATTTACATTGAAAATTATGATACTAACACACAATACTGAAATGCTAAAATTGTCACTAAACATTTATGCATTGTCATTATGTGTGTTGGTGCAAGAATAGTCAGGGACTTTAAATCCAAAAAAAAAAAAATTATGATTTTTTTCCCCAATGGCACCTTCATGACTAGCCCAATTACGAGAAGAAATTCTTTCTTTCAGGAATCCCCTGAATACTCCGTAGATCCAACTAGCTTCCACTAGATAAGTCAGCCTCCCCAAACTGCCCACCTACACATAAGTTCAGGGACAGCCTCAACTGCTGGCCTGACAACAAAATCTAAAGCATCATTGGATTATCTCTTTTTTTAAATTTTATTAATTACACTTCATTCACTTTGTATCACCCCATAAGCCCCTCCCTCCTCCCCTCCTGGTCCCACCGTCCCTCCCCCTTCTTAGAACAAGCAATATTTATTTTGAGGACAATATAAGCAGAATGATTTAATTGACAGAGGAATGTCTAAAATATGATTAAATATTTAAAAACTAAGTATCTTATGAAAATGACACACATGACTTTAATAAAAAGCCTTAAATTAGAACTAAATTCATTAATTTCTACACCCAAAAATATGAAAATTAAATTTAACCACCAAAATGCAGAAGTTATCATTTTAAAGTTTTCATTTCATTTTCAAAAAATATGTTTATGTGGATTTTTATTTAATGTTTGTATGTTTGTGTTATGTGAATTTTCATTTAATTGCTATATGTTTATCTTCTTTCTTAAGAAAATGAGGGATCTACAGGGTTTGTCTCTTGTCTTATTTACTTCCTATGACCAATTTTCCCATTCTCTCTTCCATAGTAATTCAAAGTATCCAACACCCTTTGTCTCTTCTTTCTCTAAAGATTTCCTGCATTAGACTTGGCTTTTCAAACCTTGACTGGCTGGTTCAAGACAGATGAATCCCAGCACCTGACCTCAACTTATACACTGGACTTAGAGTGACTGCCCTTTCCCTACCGTGCACAGGCATTGAAGAAGGATTCTGCCCTCCTCAAATAACAGAAGGCTTTCTATAGTTTGCCTCTCAAACGTTTTCCTCCTTCCCCAAGAGAAGCTGCCTCCATTCAGGATTTATTAACTTCTTATCATTATAATCAATTTAAGAAGCAAGTTTCAAATGTAATAGAAGAACCATAGTTCCAATGCCTGTAGTTAGCACATGCCATGCATCCAGCCATTTGACATTCTCTTAAAAGTCTTTAATGATTTGACGGGTTTTTCTTCCCCCACGTCTTTAAAGACACAGATCATTAAAGACTTGAGAAGCAGCAGCAGCTTACACAAAGCAGTAGTCAAGGCTGTGAAGTGCAGATGCCTAAGATAGTTGGAGATGGAAGCAAGCAGAGAAGTAACCTATCAAAAAGAAATGGATCAGGAGGTAAGAGACGGGGCATTGCAGAAAACAGGGCAGAGAGGGGCGTGGGAAGTGTTTCTTCTGTCTTCCACAGGGATACCATGGCTGAGGCCCTTTGACCACTAGTGTAGCCAAAAGCAAATCCTTTCTCAAAGAAGCCGAGGCACAAATTCCATCCAGTGAAGGAAATAAAGTTGTCTCTTCAGGCAGTGAATCACAAATGCAGGTGAGGGTGAGTAATAAAAAAGATGGAGAGGAGAAAATATGGGATGAGGGGGTACAGACAGGCAAAGCAAGACTTGCATCACAACATGCAATCTGCACAGCTGCATATACAGTGTGTGCTTACTACAGGCAGAAATAAATCACCAACGGTATACTACATACTAATGAATTTTCAGGAAAAAAAATGTTCTATAGGACCTTTTCGATATTAAAGTGTCTTTGCTCTTCCTCGAGTTTTTGAGATCTTTCAAGCTTCTCAACATGCATTCGAGCAAGCTCTTCTTTCATTTGTTTACATTTTTCCTGAAACCTGCATGTAACCCGCATCAGGTTGAAATCAGTTTGGCGTGGTATCAGATTTTTAAGTCTCTAAATGAAGAAAGCATTTCAAAGTTTCGGTTACTAGAGAATAACAGGTAGACAGTCATTGCAATCACATAAATTTTTGTATTAAAAATAAATCGATACTTATCACTATTGTTAATTAAAATAAATTAAAACTATACTATTATCTTAATCACTAAAATCTTTAACTGTGTATGGACAGCATATATTTATATCCTTTCTTACAAAATAGTGTCATATATGTTTACATTTTTGCCTGCTCTTGATTTCCTTCTTTCTTCCTCAGTCACAGACCTTTTTACTTTTGATTTTTATAGAACCTTCAGTTCTCTACCCAAGTCATTTCCTCAATTAACAATTGTCTCCATGTCTAAAAATGTATTTTATACTTCCCCGAGCTATTGATTGCTTTTATTTTCTTATTTCCTTTACCTCTGTGTTTCTTGAGAAGATATTCTGTGCTACCTTCTTCCTCATCTTTAAATCACTATGCCATAAATCACTCTACAGAAACATTTTTCCCTTTCTAGCATCCAATCATGGAGTGGGCTGCGGCTTTCCTGGTGTCATTCTTGTACAAGTGAGAATGGTATAAAATGGGAACTTGATGAATACCTACATAATGGATGATTGACTTTAGAAGTTCGTACAGTTCGTTGTACCTTGCCTTCTTTAAGTTACATAAAAGTCCCGTGTTGTGGCAGGTGGAAATACTCATCCTCATTTGTGCAGATGGGAAAACTGAACTGGAAGTTTCTCAGTGGCTGAGCTGAGTTTACCAAGCTTGTACATAGGAAGAATCCAGAACTGAGTTACTAAGCTTTATGTCAATTCTCCTGTCTGCCTGCCCATGGTTTCTCAGTTTAGTTTGCTGCCAGAGTAACAATGGTATCAAACTAAAGTAACACAGTTAGAAAATGGAGGTAGCTTTCAAATTTATTATGCCATTGTTACCTTGTAAATTAAAAATTAAAGTTTACCCATGTCCATTGCCACTTGGGGCTTTGTATGAGTGCAGCACTGACCACTAATCCAGAAGCCTGGAAAAATTAGCAGTTGGTACTTCACTCACCTAAAAAAAAATACCAAAGGTACTGGAGAAAACTGCCAACTAAAAAGTGCTAACAGTGCATGGAAACACATTTTCTGAATATTTACAATGCTCAAGTATTTTATTAGACATTTTTCGTGAAGCTGAGGCACCCAAACATTAAGACCACATGAGAAATCCATAAGGAACAGGAAGTCAGCAGTATAAAGACCAAGAGGTTAACACACGTGTCCTAGTTGTTACAAAGAAGCAATCCATGTTAGCAAGGTAGACAGCAGGAATAAGAAAGATGTGTCTGTGAAGGAGGAAGATTGGGATGTCTGGGTAGAAGACAGGGCAAAGACAGTCTAGACTTAGTAAAGACACCCTGTAAATGAACATTAAAGTAGTAGACTTGAGGCTGGGTAGCTCAGCGAAGTAATATTGAGACTTTTCAGTGAATGACTGGAATTCATTTTCAGGCAGAGATACAATATCTATCTATCTGCCTTTATATATATATATATATATCAGAAGGAGTCTGTACCAAGGATCCTCACTCTAAATATGTGACTATTTATATCCATATATATCTGTATCATCTATATCTATCATCTATATAATCTATCAGAAGGCGTCTGTACCAAAGAGCTTCACCCGTTAATGCTCATGAGGCACTCTAGCATGTTGCTGCAATTGCCGCTAAGGAAATCTGAGCCAACACAGTAGCAGGAGAAATGGAGGAGAAAAGAGCAAGCATAGAAATTAATGGAATGTATATAGACTTACTTAGCAGTTTATATTTAGGGATAATTATATATATAGTCCATAAGTATATGCACATAATAAGAATTAATGAAAAAGAGGGCATAAATTTGGACAAGAGCAAGGGAATATTTTAGAGGGATATTTTCGAGGGCAGAAAAAGAAAGGAGAAATGATATAATTATGTTTAATCTCAAAAATGAAAAAGTACCGGAAAGAGGAACAGACTTAGATAAAGTGTCTGTATAGTGGATAGGACAGGGAGAGAGACAACAGGGGTAGATGAACAGGTTAAAAACATTAGCATGAGATAACACCCAGGATGGCTGGTAACACAAGCCACTCAGTGGAGCTTCCCCAAACCTACAACTGCTCAGCCAATTCTCCACATCAGCCTTTCCCCATGGGAAGGCCTGTTGGGTCTCACTCTGTACTCACCTCTCGGAAAGCTTCACTTTTGAGGGCCTGGAGCCTCACGTTTGTCTGGGGTTGCATGGTTTGTATCTCCAGTCCAGTCAGCCCAGATCTTTTCTTTTTCTGAAGAGCAATGTACAGTTGATAGAGAAGTTTTGTTGCTGCCCCGGGCTTCTCTGTGATGATGCTCTGAGCAACATTCTGATCAAACTGCACACCCAGCAGGTGAAGGGTTGGCTCCAAGCGGGAGAAATTGTTCAGTTTGGCAGTTGAACCCCTAAAAGTGATGATGTTCGCAATTATACACCAAATGAGAGACAAATACCAAACGTCAAAAATACTGTTATGATACAACGCCATGAATTAATCAACCACTCTTAATTACTTCCTTTTTTCTAAATAGCTAGGTAAGGAAAAGGCATGGAGATTCCCCCCATTCGTCATGTTTACTTGAAGAAGCGAGCTAAAATTCATTAATTTTCTCTATTTAATGCTGTAAATTAACAATAAAATTATGTATAGGAAGTAAGCACAGAAAGAGACAGCCAAATGTATGCTGCTGAGTAGATAAAATGACTACAGTTTTGAAAACTACATTTTATTCTAAAGGCAAAATTGCAGTATAAATGTCCATTGCATTGTTACCTAAATTAGTCCTAATTATTCCATTGACATGTCTAACAATGATCCTCTCAGAATCTCTCAATAATACTTCATTAAATGACATTAGCTATGGAAATTATTATGTTGCCCTTTCAGTGTGTGGTTTATGCTTTTTGTTTGAAGTGCAAAAGTCTATCTTTTGAAATTTTATTATTTTTAATGATGAAATTCAACATAACCTTACACTTTAAGAAACTAATGAACTTGTTTATTTACTCCTCAGCATTTTATTAAATAACCACATTACTGAGTGCCTACCTATTTTTTAAATTTAATTAATCTAAAAAATGTATTGACGTAAGAAGCTAGAGAGATAGCTTAAGGTCACTAGCTGCACTTCAGAGGACACAGGCTTGAGTCCCAGCACTCAGGTGTCAGTTCACAGTTATCCCTAACTCCAGTTTCAGGGCATCTACATGCCATCATTTGACCTTGGACACCAGGCATTCATGTTGTGCACATACATACAGACAGACAAAACCTCATGCACAAAAAAATTAAATAAAAATTATTGAAGTCTTAAAAATGAACTAGATGTAGTTCATTACTTTTAGGTGTCCATAGTTAACAAGAAATATATTTGAATAAAAGGGAATAAAATTAGATGTTGCTTCAGAAATCTCAAGTGGTCTTTGACTGTTAGTAATGAACTGAATCTGGTGATGGAACACTAGAGCTATTCAATTCCTTTTCAACTGTTGTAACTCTGTCATCAATCCAGACACATCTATCAGTTCTAGGCTTCGGCCTGGATTCTTCTGATCTTAGCTTCCAAGATTGAAATTCCTTCTTTAGTACAAAAAGAATAATGAGTACACCTGACTGTAATCAAAGTTCATATCAAAAGTTATTCCTCAGACTTGAGAACTGCCATGCAATTGAGTTGATTGTGAAAAAGTGTGCGTGGGGTCTTATGTGTACATTCCCCACCATACATATTCAGAAAGATGGGCCTGGGAGGTATCTATCCACACTTAGGTTGTGTCATGTTTTGGACTTCAATGTTTAGAGACATCATAATTCAGAAAAGGGAATACAAAACTCATCATGAATAATTTCCAATTTTCTTCAAAGCTTAGTCCTACAATTCTAAGGACTAACCCCCCTCCTCTCATTTGTTATCACACAGCTTCCTGAATGCAGCGTTTGACTGTTTAATATTATAGTCTGGCTTCTGGTTTGGTTTTAAAACGGCATTAGTGAATTAGCCCAACTAACAAAGATAAAATAATAATCCTCTCTAGAAAATTTAATGAATATTCTAAATTCCCAATCAGTCAAACATTGAGGAATGCAACTTGAGGAACCTCAGGAAATTTGTGATTGTTAAGGCATGTGACAAGCAGTGCAGTAAGAGAACCCGCTCTTGTTTGTGAATACAGAGAAACACCTGGGACATCTGTGCTTTGGAGACAGAGCATATGATGTAAACTGTGACCTCTGGGGGAACAGGGAATGAGAACTGGGAGAAGTTTCCTTGCCCTCAGCTTATAGTCTTTGTTTGCTAAGGGACTTAGGTCTCCTCTGCTGCTTGCCACCAGGTCACAGAGCAACATGAGAAGGGCCACCCTCTGAAACATATTTCTGTATTTGCTATTTTCCCTTTTAACTAATCTGCTTTGGCAAAACTAACACCATTTTAAAGCAAATAACTTGCTAACATGTCCCCACCATATTCCCACCGTCCCTTCATGTTCCCAGAGTTAGACAAGTTATTCTTAAAATTAAGTCATTTCTAAGACATATAATTTCATGTTATTAGCAGCATATAATTTTCAAATTTTATTTGATCACTCTAGGGGGAAGGTGATCAAAGAGCCACCATTGAGTTCATGTCAGAGACAGCCCCTGTTCCCCTTACTAGGGAAACCACTTCAAGACTGAGCTACCATGGGCTACATCTGTGTAGGGGTTCTAAATTATCTGCATGCATGGTCCTTGGTTGGAGTATCAGTCTCAGAAAAGACCCCTGGGCCCAGATTTTTGGTTCTGTTGTTCTCCTTGTGGAGCTCCAGGTCTTTCTATCTCCCCCTTCTTTTGTAATGTTCCCTGCACTCTACCTTAAGTTTGGCTATGAGTCTCTGCATATGTTTTGATACCCTGCAGCTCAGAGTCTTTCAGAAGCTCTCTGTAGTAGGCTCCTGTCCTGTTTTCTCCCTCTTCTGATATCTACCCTGTTTGTCTTTCTCATTGGAACAGAAAAAAATAAATGCCAAGAGTTAAGACTGCTTGTAAAATTAAGAGGTTTTAAAAAGGGTGGTCTTTTAGTTGGATTTTGAGAATGAATTAGAGGTTTTCAAGGAAAAAGTGAAATAATAATAATATGCAAAGATACATGTCTGGGTTTCAGTGAGAATGGCCCCCACAGGCTCAGCTATTTGAATACTAGGTCTCCAGTTGGTAGAACTATTTGGAATGGACTGTGAAGTATAGTCTTGCTAGAGGATGTATGTCACTGAGGGTGGGCTGTGAGGTTTCAAAAGCCCACAGCATTCCTACTTAGTTCTCTCTCTCCCTCTCTCTCTTTTTCTCTCTCCCCTCTCCTTCCTCCCTCTCCTCTCCTTTCTTTCACCCCTCCTGCTCCTTCTACCTCTGTGCCTTATGCCTCTGTATCAAAATATAAGCTCTGTGATCTCTAGTAAATTCCTTTCCAAGTTGCCTTAGTCATGGTGTCTCTTTACAGCAATAGAAGAGAAACTAAGACAATATATGATAAAATAAAAACACATGCTGTATGTATAGACAAGTTTTAGTTAGAGTTCTATTAGTGGGTAAGATGTTTGAAATGTGTACCCTCTTAGAATTTACCTAGAGACTTTAACATTCCTTAATTCACTATCCCCCCTGCCAAATTACTGAAATTTCAGTAAACTTGCAGTTGGACCAATTATACCCTCAAGATGCATAAAAGGAACAGGATATACCTAACAATGCAATGTTTGAAACACAAAGAAACTGGCACCAAGGAAAACATTGCAAAAATATGTAACTGTGAAATATGAGCTTCTAACATGCATAAAATGATAAACAGAAGTATTGGAAATCTGGCTACATTTACATAAGCATAGAGTAGCCTATGTGTATGAGATTATCTGAGAGCATGAAAGAAGTTCTGGAATTCTTATGCAGAGGAGGCTGATCCAGCTTCTATTAGTGGATGTAAAGGTGGAAACAAAAGGGATATAAGGCTAGACTGTCAGGCAGAGGCAGTAGCTGAGGAGAACTGTGAAAATGTTGAACAACATCCCCTGAGGGAGATTATGTGACATAGCATGGATTAAAATATCCCTATGTCCTAGAAGCTTAAGTAACAACCTAGAAAGGAACACTACAAAAGAGTTTAATGGTATGAAAATATATTTATGGCTTCTGTTATGCCATAAATTCTTTCCAGTACAGCTAGTATAATTTAGATTGATGAAGAAGTGAGTCACCTATGAACGAGATGTATCAGATACTACTTGGCCCAGAACAGCTTCATTATAGGAATGTTTGAGGGGAGGTGTCAAGTCAGCACTGATTTGTGCTAGCAAGAAGGGGAGGAGGAATGGTTGGTGAAGTGATTTCTGTGAGATCATGAGAATCTGAGTTGCACTCTCAGAATTCAAGTAAAGATGCTGAATGTGGTCCTCCACACCTGTGATTCTAGTGCTAGGAAAATGGATACAGGAGGAACCCTGCTGTTTAAGAGCTAAGCATCCCAGCTTACTTGGTTGAGTCCAACTCAAAGAAATAAGGTAGACTGTTCCTAAGGAATGGAAGGAGAACTGGGCTTGTCCTCAGGTCTAATGCTCTCTCTCTCTCTCTCTCTCACACACACACACATGCACGCACGCACACACACACGCACACACACACACACACACGCACACGCATGCACAATCACCTTTTCAGAACTGTGAAAACCAGAAATCAGACAAGGGCTTGCAACAATTCAAAGTTCAGTGACTTAAGAATGTGTCCACAAGATGTACCTACTGGTGTACTAGTGACACAAATACTATAGAGGTAACCGACCACTGGTTTCATATTGGATTTCAGGTCCACTGTGTGAGATAGTTTTCATACCTGACACCATTAATGAGGCCAAGAACATGAGACTAGTCAGGTCACGAGCCCAGGGAACACTCCCTACTATTTTTCTGTTAAATGGTCACAGCAATAAAATGACTCTGGCTGGCATATTTGTACACCCATAGACCAGAGCATCACTTAACCCTCATGAGAGGAGATTATTTTCTTGCAGTAGATGGTAATTCATACAGAGATGTATACATAGTTAATGTCAAGAGAGCAAGAGATTTTGAAGCACTCAGCCCCAATTTGATTCTCTTTATTACACCCCTCCCTTCAGTGTTCAGGGATCCATGCTGAAGAGGTTGTATGAAGAGTAGAGAGCCAGAGATTGTGGACAACTGCAAGGAAACTAAGACATTGATGAAAGTTTACATATGAACTCATAAGACACTGTGACAAAACAAGACCCACACAAGGTCAAACACGACAAAATCTTAGCACAGAGAAAGGGAAGTGGGTACAAAGTCTCACTTTAACAAGAAGCTACTGATAGGTGCTAAGAGAGGAAAAATCAGTTTGTTTCAACTGAGGGACACAGGGTACGTCAAATATACTTCAGGGCAGGCCTCACGCTCAACAGTAATTGACACAAAAGGCACACCATGTCTTTTTAGTATGTGCTCTTTTGTTACTGTTTTTAAGAGAGATAAAGAACACAAAAATAGTTTTAAATATCCAAAAAAAAAAAAAAGAATAGATTTCAAATAATCAGTGGTACATGTTCAAGATTCTAGCTGCCTCTCTTGGTGCTATCAGCTGAGCCAAACAGGAGCCTTCTTTAAACTAGAAAGATTCAAGAATGAGATATGTGTTGAGCCTGAAGCTCTCATGGTTCCTGGGCATCGATCTATAAGGCCACTTACATGTGTATGAGAGTATGGGTTCCGCAAAAGACTTGAGAATTTTAAATATGTCACATCTCTCTCTGGGTTAACGTTTTACTAAACCAACACAGGAAATAGTGAGTAAAGCAGAACTGGAAATTTCCAAAGGAAAATGCGCTTCGACAGACCCTTACACAGAATCACTCATCAAAGGCAAACATGTTCAGAGTGCGCATTAGCTAATCACTACATTATCTGGTAGAGGATATAGGTACCACATCTATCGAAGAATAGAGACTTTACAGAATTTGTCCCAAAAGTCACTAAGGAAAAATTAAAAAAAAAAGTTAAAAAGCAGCTGAAACTGCATTAGCAGCAGATAGCAACTACAGACAAAAATATAGAAATCTGAGTTAGCACTTTGGTACTTTGAATGAAATGTTCCTCATAAATCTTGGACTTTTGAAATCCTGGTCCCAAGTTGGACCAGGTTGTTTACAGAAGATTGGGAGGTATAGCCACTGGAATCCAGCTTTGAGGTTTCAAAAGACTTATACAATTTTGAGTGAGGCCTGCTTGTTCCTTGTTTGTAAGTAAAGATGTGCGCTCTCAGCTGCTAGCTACTCCAGCACCATGCTTGCAGGCCTGCCTGCTTCCATACTCCCTACTGTAATAGTAATAGACTCGCAGCTCTCCAGAATGGAACTCTAAGCCTAAATAACCTTTTTCTTTTAAATGTTGCCTTGGCCCTGGTGCTGTCTCAAAGCAACAGATAAGTAACTAGGACAATGCATTATATTATTTTCTATGCCAATGCTTAATAATTATCACACATGCAGAAAAACAAAGAATGGTTCACTGAAGCATATGAAAAAGACTCAACAGAAACTCCCTGACAAAGCCTGCAAAAGATTTTGAAATAGATATTAAAATATTTTCAAAAGTTGAAAGAAACAACTTTTTAATTTGAAGAAAGAATGAGGAGAAATCCTCAACAATAAAGAAATAAAAAGTATAAAAATGAGAACCAAATAGAATTTCAGAGTTTAGAGTTACTACGGGAATTCAGCCCAGCTAGTATGGTTAGCAGAGACCAAGACTCAAGTTATACTGCGATGAGACATTTACCACAAGAGTTCAAATACACGTTTAAGTGTACAGAAGAAAAAAAAAAACCTGAAAGGTACATTAGCTGAAATTATTTAGGAAAAAGACAATAAGAAAAAAATAAGAAATGAGTACAACTAATGCACAAGTAATCAAAAATATTTAAATTGAAATTCAACCAAATGAAAAAGAAATATATCTCAAGGACATCACAACTAAGTTATAATTTAAGTTACACAGTAGAAAAATATTTGCAAATTATTTATCTGATAAACTTACTGAAGAATATGAAAATAACATAGATCAACAATGAAAATGCAAGCAGACTTAAAAACAGGTAGCATATCAAAACAGACATTATATCAGTGAAGATGAATAAATGAATAACTTGCAAATGTAAAGATATTTAATATTATTAGAAATCAGAGAAATACAATTTAAATTCACAATGCAATACAAGTTCAGCTATAATGGGAGGAGAGGCAGAGAGGAACTGGGAGAAGTAGGTGGAGGAGAAACTATAATCAGAATATATTGCTTGAAAAATCTATTTCTCATAAAGATATGAAAAAAGATAATCACAAATGTTGATAAGAGTATAGTGAAGCTGAAACCCCCATATACAGCTACTGTAGATTTTAATGGTATGGTTGCTTTATAAAACAGCTTATGTATGCTTTCTTATATATTAAATTATGTTATATATGATATATTCACACACATATATATCACAGAAATACCACTCCTAAACATATAGTCAAGAGGAATAAATACTCAAGAGGAATAAGAACATACTCATGCACAATAAAACATCCATAATAAATAATAACCCCACTGGAAAAACTCAAATATCTACTGATAAACAAAATATGACATGTCATACTCATGCAATTGAACATTACTAGTAAGTAAATAGTAATGAAGAAAGAGGCACATAGATGAGACTTGAAAATTCACCCTAAGTGATAAAAGCCAAATAAATATGCCCATTTTCTGACTCCTTTGGTAAGCACCATATATAACAAGTTAGTCCAGAGACAACAAGCTTTCAGGCACCAGGGCCTGAGTATCACAAATAAGTAACTATAGTAAAACCAAGGGCAATGCATGCAGAGGACCTAAAACCCCGACTCAGATGTAGCCCACAGACTCAGTCTCCAAGTGGTTCCCTAGTAAGGGGAGCAGGGACTTTCTGGCATGAACTCAGTGGCAGGCTCTCTGATCACCTCCCCCTGGGAGGTGCAGCCTTGCCAGACCACAGAGGGAGACAAAGCAATCAGTCCTTTTGAGACCTGATAGGCCAGGGTCAGATAGATGGAAAGGAGGACCTCCCCTAGCAGTGGACTAGGGGAGGGGCATAGTGGGAGAAGAGGGAGAGAGGATGGGATTGGGAGGAGAAGAAGGAAGGGGGCCACAGCCAGGATATAAACTGAATAAATTGTAATAAATGATAATAATAAAAAAGAAACAAAAACACCCAGTCACATTGAGCCATAAACTTGCAAGTGATGAATTACAGCCTAAAATTATTCATCAATATTATTGCTAAGACAAAATTGTGTACTTTTATTAGTAGTTAAATGTACTATATATTTTAAAAACACAAATATTATTACTACTTGTTCATCAAGAAAACTACATTGCATTCTGTTTCTTCTCCTTACTGAAGGAAGAACAGGCCTGGGAGATGGCTCAGCAGTTAAGAGTGCTTGCCACTCTTACAAAGGACCTGGGTTTGAGTCCCAGCACCCACATGGTGGCTCACAATCAGCTGCAACTGCAGTCCCAGGTGATTTGACACCTTCTTCTGGCCTCTGTGGGCACTGTGTGCATGGAGTTCACAGACAGACAAGTAAACATTCACACACATAAAATAAAAAACTAAAAATTACAAAAATAGAAGAACATTGAATTAACAAAAAGGGCAGGGAGAAATCTGGCCTAAGGCTCGAAGGAATTAAAATGTGACTTTCTTCTGAAGCATTCTTGTTTCAAACACATTTGTTGTTCTCCTTTGGATTCTTAAGACAACAAAAGTATTGACTTTCTTTTTTTTTTAAGGATGGAATAACTTTACTAACCTGCTCTCTGAAAACTCTGAAAAATCACTCTGAAGGTCAAACTTGCACAGAACTTCTCCAATTAGATAGCCATTAGAAAATGCCTTTGCAAATGACTTGGGACCTGAATTTTAAAACATTGAAATAACATAGTAAACACAATGTTATCATGTGATGTATATATAATCAAACTAGCATAACAAAACATAAACACACAATGTCTTGAATATATTTATAGGAACATCTCTTAACAACCAAAGTAAAAGATTTAACAATAAACATTAAGGTCTCCAAAGACAAACCAGTAGCTAATGATAAATACATTTTTTAAAAGTAGAAAATTGTTTCCAATTAACATTAACCAAAACACAATACAATTAAGATATAACTTTAATCTAAAACAACCATAAAGGTATTCCACGAAACTATGCTCTAAATACTTCAGCTATGTCTTTAATCTACAGGTATAGCAATTCTGTCCAATTGCAATGTAATCTATTTTTCTTTAAATACAGATTTAATTTTAACCTCTAAATTAGTGGAAATTTTACTAAAATTATCTGTGCTTTAAAAAAAAATCCTTACTGACCACAGCTGGGATCTTATTTCATGGTTCAGAGTGGTCATCAATGTTCAGTTTATATGCAACGAGATGATGAGAATATTTCAGAACAGAGAGTGCTCAAAGAATGCCTAAGAAACAATCTTTAAATGTATTCGGCATTCTTGACGATGCAAGTTCCCCTTCCTGCAGTCAGAACGGTTCAGAGCAACAGCAACAACAACAAAACTGCCAACAAGTGCTGGTGAGTAGACGAGGAAAGGCACACCCTTAGTCGGTGTTGTCGACTCTGCAGACTGGTTGCGCCACTATCTAAATCGGTGTGGAGAATCCTCAAAATTCTAAGACTATGTCTACCGTATGACCCAGCTATGTCACTCCCTGACATTCTTGAAGGACCTCACATCCTAGTCCAGAGATACTTGCTCATCAGCTATATACATTCTCGCTCTAGTCATAGTAGGCTAGCTAATGGAAACGATGTAAATGCCCGCCGACTGATGAGTGGACGACGAAACTGTGGTACAAATAGACACTATTCTATTCAGCAGGAGAGGAAACTGAAATTGTGGGGTCTGCAGGCGGATGGAGGGAACTGGGAACATTTACAGTGAGGTAAGCCAGATGCGGATGTGTTCTCTCTTATTCTTTCTTCTAAAATGTCCTTAGGTGTGGGTGCAAAGAGATTGGTGGCAGGGGAATGAGGTGATCCATTCACAAGGCCCCACTCTGTGCCACTATAAGCATTTTTACATCTGACCCCAGCACATAATTTTATATGAAAATTTCTTGATTTTTTTTTCTCACACAACTTAATATTCCAATTTTTAGGGTGATCCAACATGATAATGTCTGTTACTTAAGGACATCTCCTTAAAAATCGTGAAAGGTCTAGCAGTGATTAGTGGCCTTCAGTAAGCTTGATCATTGTTTCAAGGTTATTTACCACAGAGCACGCTCATTCAAAGCTGATGGATTTAGGCTTCTAGTTAGTCATACCTGTCCTTAAGAAACCATCTTTAAAAAGAGGACACCTCTGGCAGGACAGTTCATAATTCCTAGTACACACTACTCCATGAAATGTACTTCATGACCAAGGTGCCCGATGTCCTTATTTTAATATGGCCCCACCAAAGAACCTTGTGATGATTGGGGTTATCTTTCATTAAATGTCATGGGTGCCATCTGATACGATTCTTTGGTAACCTAAAGCTAATAAAATCCCAAAGGCTCCTTCCTCCATAGTCAGACCTGTGCCATCATCCCCTCCCACACAGTTGTCACTTTCTTTACCCTTGAAGATCTCCTGATGCACACCTAGCTGTTCCCTGGCCTGGATGCCAAGCACTGTCCTCGAGGGTCAGTCTATCTCTATTGTTAATTGCACACTTCTTGTCAGTGTCCTCACTACTCTTTTCTGTAAAATCTCTACTCTCTTAGTTTTCTAAACAGCCATTTAATCTAGAGGCATCGCCAGACTAGATATATCTTTCTTCCTAGGCTTTTAGGGTTTGGGTAAAATTTTAAAGTACACTGCTTTCTGTTCATAAGTGGTTGCTCTGTCTCCCCCCTTCACGCTCCGCTCTGCAGCTTGCACTATGCTTATTTATGTCACACCAATGCTTGGAGGTCAGCCCATAAATAACTAGGATACAGATTAATACTATCCTGTCAGCCGTGATATAGCAGATAAATGGTCGGTAGCAAAGTGTTTGCTACAAAAAGGATAAACTTAAAAATAAACTCATAATTCACTTCCTTTGAAATGGCATAAAATACTAATCATGCAACTCTGATAAAGTTAAACTCATAGAAAGAGTAATCAGTTATTTATGTCACTGTCAGAATAATTTATAGTATATATAATTTATATAATACATATAATTTATATTTATTATATAATATTTATAATTTACAATATAAAACATTGGACAGCAAATTTTTATACATAACGGACTTTGATTTTATTGTGTGTCAGCTTGACAAGAAGGTCACAATGAATAAAAAATATATTAAGTGGGAAGAGGAACAAAAAAAGATTGTTCAAAAATGGAACAAACAGGAAAAATACACGAAAGACATGAGGCAGAAAGGAAAGGGGAAGGAAAGCATGGCTGTTGGAGATGTAGATTAAAAGTGAACACACCATTCACATATTAACAACACATAACAAGCCAAAGAGAAAGGAAGGAACATAAGGAGAAGGTAGGTCAGGGAGAGACATAGTAAGAAAAACAGGACAAGCATCTCTCCCTTTTGTTTTATTGTGTTTTTCTCCCCACTAAGGAGAATGACTAATTCTGTAGCAACCGCCTCCATAAATTAATCTGTACAGGACAATGAACAATAGATAATATAAGAAACGTGGCGGGGCACTTTTCATCTTTAACACAGATTCTCTTTCATCTAAGATCGAGGTGTTTTAGTGGGAGCTCAACCCCACCTGCAGCCATGGCCTGGTTCTCATCGTTGAAACTGACACATGATAAAAATTTGTAATGTGGTCCTCTGCGATAAGTCTGTTGGGCTCCAGCAGCAGGTGAAATGGCTGTGTGATTCTCTATCAACTCGGCCCTGCACTAGTTGGAGAAAACATTAAAACCACACACACTTCAGGGTGGTGGGAGGGGCTTTGTTTTATTCCTGGTCTGTGTGTACACCGCTTAACCTTACCTAATTAAACAGCCATAGTTTTTTATGTGTAAAAGAAAATGGAACCTAGTCCACAAAGAATTACTTGAAAATTAAATGAGACATTGCATGTAAAGTACCTGAGGTCATGAGAGAGCCACAGTGTGTTCAGTGATAATGTTATTGCCATCATCACACTCTTCTAATTTAAGAAGATGGGTCATATTAGTTATGCAGGACACACACTCAGTAACAGACCTTCAGTGATGATGTCACAAGCATACTCCTTCAAAGGCGATTTCAGTGCTCAGTAAGCAAACATCTGACAGTTGCCCTGAAACCCAGATGTGAGCTCACCCTTAGGCCCAGGTACACTGTAACACCTTTACCATCCTGGTCAATCATCTAAAGTCAATTGATTTTAACAAAAAAAGTGTTGAACTGTTTGCATTCAATGAGACAAAGAAACATCAAAGAACCCCTTGACACTTCCTGTCAGCTATTTCAACAAAAGAAATAAAGGACAAAATTTCAAGAATTCTGGCTTTTGGTTTGGTCACAAGACTGGAACTTGTGCCACTTTGTGCTCACTGGCCTTTAGATCTTTTGGACAGATCAAAGACCCTGTCTACATCTCAAGTGCATGCTCTGAAATCAAGCAAATTTACTTTCCTTTGAAAGAGACAAAGGCCACTCTGGCAGCTGGGAAATAGCCTGCTTCTATGGGGCCTTGGCATTACTTAGAGCTGGCAAGCACTCACAGAAATACCTTGGCTTTCTTCTGTTGAGCATAACCAATTTCACAGCACAATAACTGCAGATAAGGCTGGATTGTGGTCCCCATGGATCAAACAACAAACCTACCGCTACTGTATCTGAACTCGGACAAAACCAAGAAGCTTTCCAAAACCCTAATGTGACCAAACCTCTCCTAATCTGGCTAGTGTAAGCGTTGGCTCTTTCCTTGCTGCTTCTCCTATAGCTAGCTATCACATTAAGAAATATAGAGACTTTCCTAGTCTTTGAAAGGATTGGATTCACGGTGACTACTGTTTCCAGGAACCCTCCTCAACACCACCAGGAGCCTGAGTCCTCCCTAACACTGTCACACAGAGGAGTTGCACACTTTCTCACTTTGCAACCACTCAAAGAGCCAGGGTCATCCAGCCACAGCTGTGTCCAGTGGCTTTCGCCTGGAGTAACTTGACCATTTTTTTCTTCATATAATATGAAGATAATATAAGGAGGGTTGACCTTTGCAAATTTCTCCACTGAAGGAAGGTTTTATCATAATTCTCACAGTTCATTATCTGAAATGAAATCTTAATCTTCATGTCATAGAATTTTAATGATGAAAATATTTGGTGTCATTATTTTCACACAACTCAGGTCTTAAAACTTTAGGTCTGGTTCACGGGATGCTTTCTGGTTTTAGACCTGCTATGTTAATGTCTAGTGAAAGGATTCTCTGTTTCAATAAAGAAAAATGTTGCTTAGTAGCTGGAAATACAGATATATTGTTGCCTACCAGAAACAATATGGCTTTTAAAGTCCCTGAAGCTGAAATATCAGAAATGTGTAGTGTAACAACACTTTGTTAAAGGGGAAGGGACATAGGGACAGCCATTTTCATAATGCTAGCTGTAAACCAAGCCCTAAGAAGATATGACTTAATTTATGTATTAATACAACAAAGAAGAATTAAATAATTTCTTGTCTTTGTTCAGTTTCTGTTATTGTAGCAGAACAACACAAGACAGGTACTTATTTAAAATCTTTTCTCACATTTCTAAAAGAAAGTTCTGTACCAAGGTGCCAGGACCTGGCCGAGGCCTTCTGGCTGCATCACAACGTGCTATGTGGTGCAAGTGCAGAGGAGCGCTTAAGACAGACACAAGAAAGAGACCGACGCATCTCTCCATCAGGGTCCC